ATTTTGTTAATGGGGGTTAGGTCAACTTAACAGCTTTTGGTATTACGGACTCAACATGAACCGCAGCTCAATCATCGTAAAAAGTTACGTGAGATCAAAATACCACAATCTTAAAGCCATCTTACCTCCCTCTTATCACCCACCCTTTAAACCCTCAACCTAACCCCGTTAAACCCCAACACCCGCGACCTACTTACCCCTTCAAACCCCACTATATAGTCCCCCCATATATATATAATGTACTATCCACATACAGAATTAGCTAGAGTAATTTAAGTATGCGAGAAAGTGAGTGGGGGAATCAGCGCACGAAGAACGACGCGCGAGAAAGTAGAACGCGAAAGGAGAGGGCATCCTTATATGTCCAACACGCCTCAAGCCCATGGACATTTCAGTTGGCGGTAGAGGAATGAAGGATTCACAAAAAACAAACCCACAGATCCCCCTTGGTGGTTTCTAATGTTGTGTTGCTTTCCAAACCAACCAGCCCTTGCCGATCAAAGCTAGCTTGTCGTTCTCCACCACAACCTTGCTTATTTCCCAAGAGTTGCAAACCAATAGGTGATTACCCCTCCCCCTTCTCTCGATCTCTCTCCATCACGGTGGCCTTCCGCTTCAGCTCCTTGTTTTCTGCCCTTAGCACACTTATCTCTGCTCGCGCATCCTTATACATGCGTTGGAGCAGAGCCAGCTGGGAGTTTAACTGTTGCACCTCATTTGTCCTGCTCTGCAGACCTACTCCACTAAACCTAATCCACTACACCACTACCACCTCACCTACTCCACTAAACCTATCACCTACTTCACCCACTTAAACCTACTCCACTAAGCCTAACCCACTACACCACTACCACCTCCACTTCACCTACTCCTTACCTACTACACACTCACCCTCTTCTATATATAGGAATCATGAATCATTGTAATAAGAATCAATAAAACAATCAATAATACAATTTCTCTTTATACATTAAATTTCTACATCATTTCTCTTTATACATTAAATTTCTACAAGAACACAAAATTAGAAATGGGATGCTTAGTACAAGACCTCACACCCTTTCGTTGGGCAATAGGAATATCAAGATCAGTATACTCAGGAGGAATAAGGGTTTCAGAGTTACCTGGAATCTCATCAGAAGAAGAAGATAGCAGTGGATGATCAGAAGTGGTCTCTTGTATACAAATAACTTTCTATCTGTCTTTGTCCTTGACATAGGCATTCGGTATTTTCACCACAAGTAGTTAGTTTACCTTTTGTGTTCTCCACTACTAGTGATGAGCCAGGAACTGATACAGACTCAAGAATCCCTTCACACCAAAGCTCCCCCTGAAAAGAGGACTGGGACAAGAAATGAGACTGTGACTCAAAGAATGTTACATCCATGGAGACAAACCACTTACGAGATGGAAGATGATAACACTTATAAGCCTTTTGAGTAAGAGAGTAACCCAAAAAGACACACTTCATAAAGTTAGGATCAAATTTACCACGAGAAGAAGCATGATTATGGACAAAACAAATACACCCAAAGACTTTAGGGGGAATAGAGAACACAAACTCAGAACTTGAGAAAACCTGGAGAGGAGATTTTTTGTGCAACACTTGGGTTGGGAGACGGTTGATGAGGTAGGCAGCAGTGAGAACTGCGTCCCCCCAATAAGACCATGGCACATGCATAGAAAAAAACAGGCAACGAGCTATATCAAGAAGATGATGGCTCTTGCGTTCTGCAACCTCATTTTGTTGAGCAGTGTTATGCAAGAAGTCTGATGAATAATGCCATGGGTGGAAAAATAGCTTGCTAAACCAGAATCAATATACTCACCCCCATTATCAGAACGCAATATTTTGACAATCGCCCCAAATTGAGTACATATCATTTTATGGAAATTACGAAACACACAAAATACCTCACTTTTGTCTTTCATAAGATATACCCAAATAGTACGAAAAAAATCATCGATAAAAGTAACAAACCATCTATGACCTTTTAAAGACACAACACGAGATGGACCCCAAACATCAGAGTGAATTAAGAAAAAAGGTACTAAACTTTTATTAAAGCTTGGAGCAAAAGAAGCTCTATGTTCTTTTCCAAGTTGACAAGACTCATAATGAAACTCTAAGACATTATTGTTTGTAAAAACATAAGGAAATAAATGCTTAATCAATAGAAATGATGGGTGCCCAAGACACTGATGCACAGCCACAGGTATTCCTTGGTGGCAGGAAACTTGATAGAATGAAGTGCCAACTTGTCCGCCTGATTCGGGATATAGAGACCACATTCTACTCTACCACTGCCAATCGTCTTCCTCGTGATAAGGTCCTGAAACAGACAATGATCAGGAAAGAAAGTCACACTACAATTCAAGTCATAAGTAAGACAACTCAATGATAAAAGATTGACAAAGAAATGGGAACATGCAAAACAGAAGATAATGGTAGAAAAAGAGTGGCATGGATTAAACCTTTCCCAGAAACAGAAGAAACAGTACCATCAGCGATCCTAACTTTGTTCTAACCTGAAGAAGGCTTATATTCCAAGAACAGATCAGAAGATCCAAACATATGATTTGAGGCACCAGAATCAATAATCTAAGGTAAAGACTTATGAGATAGAAAAGCACTTGGAGAAGCAGCTAAGTTACCTGAGTGAGCAAAAGACAAGGAGGATGTACAATGGAGTAGTAGAAGAGCAACGATCCAATAGGTGGCGCAAAGCATCCTCTAACTCAGAAGAAGACAATCCAGATATATCACCACTAGGAGGAGCAACTGAAGAGGCATCGGGAGTATCCACTGCACTAGTATGATGTGCACGTGGATTACACCCGCATCCTCAAGACCGTCCAGAGCGACCCCTATGACTACCAGAACGGTCACCACGACCACCAGAAGGAACCCCATGAATCTTCTAACAAGTCTCACCGGTATGTATCGGCCAGCGACAATAATCACAAAATAGTGTATCCATCTCTGAAGGACTACAGGAAGTACAAGGCAGACTAGTACCTTCCCTAGGAGGAGCAGAAAGTAAGACTTAGCGCTCTGTAGAGGTAGGTGGTAGCATAGCAAAACAACGACTCTCTTCGTTCTGTGCATAGGAAAAGGCCTCCTGAAGGGAGGGAAGAACATTCATACCAAGGACACGACTTCGAACAGGATCAAGCTCTAAGTTGAGACCTTCCAGAAATTTGATGACCCGTTCATGTTCAATAAACTTCTGGTAACCTACTGAATCAATTGTGCAAACAGGATTATCAAGACGTTTCCAGCCATTGTTAAGAAAAATGAAGTATTAAAGGACAGTCACATCCCCCTGTACTGAGTGTTCAATAGAACGACGCAACTCAAAAGTCTATGAGAAATTCCTCTTTCGGGAATAGGTAGTGACCATAGCATCCCAAATATCCTGGGCAGTTTTCATAGACAAGTAGCCTTCCCTTATATCAGTTACCATGGAATGAATGAGCCATCCCATAATTAAAGAATTGGTAATCTCCCATTGATTATAACCAGGATCAGTGATTCCTGGTGCCTTGATCCTCCCATCAACATAACCCATCTTCCCTCTACTCTTCAAGAAAAGTGTCAGACACTGTGACCAAGCAAGATAGTTCTAACCATTAAACAAGGGCAAATTACAAACACCCCCCTCGGGGTTTGGTGAAAATACAAATTCCCCCCTGAGGTTTGAGAAATTACAAATTACCCCCTGATGGTCAAATTTTCATAACAAATTAGGTCAAATTAAGGAGGAATCTGTATGAAAATAAAAACCTCAGGCGTCAATTTGTTATAGAAATATAAACCTCAGGGGGCGGGATGTAATTTCTCAAACTTCAGGGAGAAATCTGTATTTTCAACAAATCTCATGGGAGGTGTTTGTAATTTGCCCATTAAACAAAGAGGTGGTGATTTTTAGGCTAGGGTTTAGGTTTTCGGATGTAACAGTCATAATGAGACTCTCCCCTCTAGGTGGCTGAGAAGTAGTGGTGGATTCACTAGTAAGGTCAACCATTTATACTCTACAAACCGAATAACAACCAGCACTAATCACAAATACTGGAAGAGGGAATAAAATCAACTAGACCAAGCAATGTCAATTACAAACCATGATAGGAGCATACCAATCAGTCAAAGCTGGGCAATAGCGAAATGTAATGACCCAAAAAAAAATAAATACACAAAATGGAAAAGGAACCTCCCATCAAAACAAGGCTAAGCTATCCTCAAATAAGGCAAAACCTTGCTAGACTTGAGGAACAGTGGTGAGATGAACCAATCAAAACATGCAGTGGGTCAAAGAAGCCTCAGAGTGGCTGTCGGTTGAAGCCAAAATAGGCCAAGGAGCTTTCGGCTGTAGCCGAACAAGAACGAGGGACTGTTGGCTGGTCCTCGGTGCTCACCAGTGACTATCGCAGGCCCTGGACAGAGAAGAGAGGGTCAAGACACAGTGGGCAGCAGTTAGGTGGTGATGGGTGAAGGTGGAGAATGAGATGGTAACCCTAAGGCTCTGATACCATGTTTGTTTGAGAGAGAAGAACTTAGGGAATGATTAGACAACCATCCTCTTTTATATTGATAATAAGTAACTTGCAATGGAAGCCTTGAAGGCACAAATAAGGAAATAATAGAATAAGGAAATAATAGAATAAGGAAATAATAGAATAAGGAAATAATAGAATAAGGAAATAATAGAATAAGGAAATAATAGAATAAGGAAATAATAGAATAAGGAAATAATAGAATAAGGAAATAATAGAATAAGGAAATAATAGAATAAGGAAATAATAGAATAAGGAAATAATAGCTAATAGAATAATCAAACCAAAGATATTATTCTATCAGCTATATTATATATAATAGGATAATGGATACCTGACTGCAGTTTTATCTGCAGGTGTATCCAAAGCATGCACAACATACCACGCAATACTACTGTCACTGACCAATTACTACAAGAAAGGAGGTAAAAGAAATTAGAACTCACGATCTCCTTCTGGTTTTCAAGGAACCAAATGGGGAAGGAAAGAAAGTGTTGGCATGAGGGAAGAGACTTCCAACACTAGATTGGATTAATTGAAGAACAATAGGCAGCCAGGATTGGTATGCCTCCCTGAGTAATCGATCTGTTTCATCAACAACCTGAAAAATTGACCTCGTCAAAAGATAGTCTTCTAAAGAAAATTCAAATTAAAAGCTATGGATGTTAAACGCAATGTTTTGATTGCTGAAGTTCAATTTGTTCGTTGTAATTTTTTATTCTTCCACTGATAAACCATCACAGCAACAAGATACCAACAGAAGGACAAGCAATGATGACTGCAATTTTTGAAACACGTTGACGGAAGCATTTGGTGGTATCATGAATTTAAGTATGGACTCATGAAAAATTGTTAAAACCTATCACCTACTTCACCCACTTAAACCTACTCCACTAAACCTAACCCACTAAATCCACATACTCTCCACCTACTTCACCCACTTAAACCTACTCCACTAAACCTAACCCACTAAATCCACATACTCTCCACCTACTTCACCCACTTAAACCTAATACTAGTGCTAATCAATAGCAATCCATTAAACACTCAAGTCATTAACAAAATATTCCAATCTGATGAAATACAAAAAATACATAATATAAATACGTAACATATTTGAAACCATTATTTCAGAAAATGGAATGCTGTAGGGAACAAAAGTTACATCAGAATTATATGTGAAAGGTGAAATCAACACAATCTGCTACTCACCAGATAACAAAGATGCTCAAGTGTAAAACCTTTCGTAGAATTTATATGATCCATCAGCCTGCCAGGAGTAGCCACCAAAATGTCCACTGAACTTTCTAAATCCAGCGAAAGATCTTCGGGGTCATAACAGATACCTGCCTCAAGCTTAGGTCTCTTAATAAGTTCAGAAATTTCATCAGCAATTGAAGATTGACCAACTGCCAAACCAACAGATAAGCTCACTGCAGGTGCAATAGCAGCAAAGACTTCCTTAACCTGAAACCCCCAAAAAAGAAGAAAAGGGAAATAGATACCTTTCAAGGGAGCATTAAATAGGCCTTGATACAGTTCCCCTCTAGTATTCATAACATTCACATTAGTCCACTTGTTTTCCAAAGGATCAATGTGATGGCAAGTACGGAAAGAACAAAAAGGATAAATCTGGAATTTCACATGGAGCACAATTAGAACATCATGGAGTGAAGATTTAGAAAGTTTTAAGTCTTTATTTGTGTTTATTATAATTTAGCACACTACTGAACAGATTTATGCCGTTATATTATGTTTTTGTAGTTGGAGGTAGTTTGGTAATTTCAATAAGTGTTCACCATGAGTAGTAGTAGTTATAGTCCATGGATCATAAAGTAGGTCAAGTAATGTTATTTGAATTTTATTTACAATCCTAGTTGGTCTAGAATATTTGTACTTCGTAATGGAAAAATAATCATAAATATGATAAGCATAAAGGTAGCATTGACTAAACATCAAATCAACATACCATTTAGTTGGACCATCATTGGAAACATGAGCTCCTCTTTCTTTTGGAGTATCCAACAACATGAATCCAATTTTCCCATTTAAGGATCCAAAGAAACATCTTCAACCTAGGAGATTTCTCAGGTTCAAATAACATTCCATACCTTCCTCTCCCCTTTCCAAAGCCACCAATTATTACTTTTTTTCATCAGTGCCATGAGGCACCTTCTAGGAATATGTTTTAACTGTTTTAAGTATTCCTCCCCTGTTCAAACACATTTTTATGTGCTTCCAGATTTATCTTAATGCTCCTTTCCTTGATTATTAAATTCGTCATTTCTAAAATAAGCTTCGTCATTTTTTTCCCACTCCACCTTGCAACACCCTCACCTCATAGACATTTCTTAGAAATATAGCTTAAAGTACATTCCATCACATTTTTTTTTCAAAACATGCAAAACTCGTACCAATTCACAAACATGTTCCCTCTTTTGCATCTGCATATAATTTTGTAGGCAGAACCAATTAAATTTGATAGCCAATTTATTCTTTCATCCCTCTTTCATTTTGTCAGTTAAAATGGTGAATAGTAAAAGCTCAAGCTGAAAATCACATAGAGGAGGATCCAACACCAATCTCACCAAGTTTGTGCGAATAAAAAGTGGTGATCGGGTGTATAAGAATTCTAATCTTCCAGCGCCTTGAATTGCCAAGACAACCATTAGGTAAAGGCAGTTTAATTAAAATGATCCTTCGACAGTCTATCTAGCCATCAACCTTATAATAATATCCCACGTCCAATGAACAAAGCTTTAGAAGTTCACAACGAAGCCCATATAATACAACAATCAGCACACCAATCCCCAAACACACATACAATTTTGCATGAAGAAAACACCTATCTCAATCACATCAGATGTGTCTTTATAAATGTAATGAAAATCAATGTATTTTCTCATGAATTTTAACAAACAACTAAAACAAAACAAATACAACAGTACTCAAACGTATTCTTAAGGTCATGAATAGTTCAATCAACTTTGGTACTGCAACACAATTGCGAGTTCATATATCTAAGTCAAGCTTAGGGGTAAAAAACACTAATAGTTCCATGATTATGAGATGAGAATTAACACCTAATGAAGAAAACACGCATGCCCAATATGTGTGTGTGTGTTTGAGTGAGAGAGATTGATGGCAGCAATATCCCTTTAAGTAGAATCACCAGGACATGTGCAAAAATGGGAAATCGGTACGTAAAGGTGAATGTATAACCAGCACGGCTAGATCACGTGTGGGTAACACCACTAAAGCACAAAGACATCTAACTGCACGAGTTGACAGCATTTGCACTATTGGCAAAGCATAGGCTAGCGTCTTCCCACTTCCAGTTGGTGAATTTATACAAAGGTCTCGCTCACAGGAACCAGGTCCAATTGTCTCTTGCCAGACTGCGACTTGCACTGGAAAGAGGGAAGTAAAACCCATATTCTCCAAAGCCACCTCCAACCTAATATAAGAACAATTCACAACTAACCATAACCACAAAAATATAAGCAATATAATTCAAGGGAGTAACAGAGTGAAAGCCATTTTACAGTAATCAAATAGGTAATCAAAATTGAAGCTCAATGTCAAGCTCCAGGGGGAAAAAAAGTTCCTTCAAGCTAAAGGAAAAATGATGCCTAAACCTCAATGTAAGAGTCACAACAATGATTGAATTATTAAGTGGGTGAAAAGCATTGTACATTTTTACCTATATATCAAGGGTCTTTAAATGGTTAAAACATAATAAGCAAAGGTTGCCTCTAAAAAATGTAAAAGTTCACAAAACTTCATGAACACCAAATTACGTGCTCCTTTTAATATATTAAAATATAGATGTTAAAAATGTCATAAATTTAAATTACAGAGGTTTATTTAAGTAAATAGTAAAGTGAATTTATATTGTCAAACATAACACCAAATTATGTGCTCCTTTTAATATATTAAAATATAGATGTTAAAAATGTAATAAATTTAAATTACAACGTAAGGTTTATTTAAATAAATAGCAGAGTGAATTTTTATTGTGAAATGTCATTTTATTTTTTATTGACTAGAAATTCAAAAATGGGCATGATAATATTTAAGAAAGATGAGTTATATTTAAATAAATTTTTTATTAAAATAATGTCTCCCTAAAGTAAAAAGGTGACAAAGAGCCCCTCTAGTCAACCTTTTAAAAACAAGGGTAAACTACATTAACACTCCCCTGAGGTTTGTTTTTACTACAATTTCCCCCTCGACGTTTGAATTTCATTGCACTCATTGAGGTTCGAAATCGCATTACATTTTGCCCCATTTTGTTAATGGGGGTTAGGTCAACTAACAGCTTTGGATGACAATGACATCAACGTAAAAAGTTATAAAAATACCAATTTTAACCTTACTCTAACCCCTAACCCTAACCCTAACCCTAACCCAACCCGAATTACCTACCCATACCCAATAAAACCCTAAATATACACTAACCAAAAATTTAAGTGGAGAAAAAGTGGGAGAACGACGAGAAAGTAGAACGAAAGGGAGAGGGATCTTATGTCCACACGCAGCCATGACATTTTCAGTGGGAGAATGAGGATCACAACAACCACGATCCCCCTTGGTGGTCTAATGTTGTGTTTCTTTTCCAACACCAGCCTTGCCGATCAAAGCTACTTGTCGGTTCTCCACCACAACCTTGCTTATTTCAAAGTGCGGACAACAATAGGTGATTTACCCCCTCCCCTCTCTCTCTCTCTCCCTCTCTCTCTCTCTCTCTCTCTCTCTCTCTCTCTCTCTTTTCAGGTTCGTGGTGTAGGTGGCGAAAGAGGGAGATGGTGCTATAGGGCTGGTGATGGTGTGGATTGGGTTACTGGTGGAGTGGGTGGCCAATGGAGAGTGGATTGGGGTCTAGGTAGGATGGATTTAGAGTGATTAAGGAATAATTGTAAGGGGGCACTAGGTGTTTCAAATAATACTCGAAATGGGTGATACCATGATGGTGATGTTAGGTAATGGTGTAGGTGATGGTGGGTATATGGTAAGAATTTTTTCCAATTGACTACTCAGTGGAACCCTCTTGGGCACCATTAGTTGCTGCATGCTTTTTATTTTTGTTGTAAAATTGTTGAATCAATTGAAGAATTGAACTCTCAAAGCCAATAAATAAAGAGATGGTGTATTCTATAGGTTGTGGCTATGGTTGGGTGGAGGCACAACAAGAAACAAACATAACAATTTGTTTGCATGAGAACATCTGTACTTAGTTGTTTTTTGCAAAGCAAATGCATACTCAATACATTGATGTTGCTAGATATATTCAAATAGCCAACCACGTGGTGTCAAATAGCCAACTTTCTAAATATTTTTAATTGATATGATGTGTCAACAAGGTGTTTGTATAGCGATGGTGTTTTGGGGGTGATTGTTAGGGCTGAGATGGAGCCGAGAGAGAGAGAGAGAGAGAGAGAATAAAATTGGGTCATGTTGAACGGGAGGAAGAGAGAAGGGAAGAAAGGTAATAAAGCCATTTTATTTTTTTTCTGTTAGTGGTGTTAATAGACAAATTCTGATAAGAGGGTCAGTGTAATGTCTAGGATGTGAGGGAGGAATTTGTATTATTCATAAACCTCATAGGGTGTGACTGTAAAAAACCTAAAATCAACCTATTTTGCCTTAAATAAGTGCAAATAAGCTTAAACTATTTTTACTATAGATTACATCAAAATGTTATCTCAACTTAATTAAAACTAAAAGTTGAAAGTTGAAATATTTAAGTCATAACAAACAACCACATTGTTCAATCGCATCTAGTCAATAATAGCCATGTGCATTATATTAAGGCTATTTATAGGATTTTTTTAATTTGAAATTTTATACCAATATATTTGGTGTAGTTTCTGCTTAATAGTTTTAGAAATAAATAAATAAACTGAAAAATAATTGATTATCAAAAACTAGAGGTGAATGTTTTTATGTTCTGATTTCTAATTCTCAACTTTCAACTTACCAAAAGTTACACAAAATAGGTTCAATTTTTCAAATGGAATTGAGTTTGGGGTTATTTTGTGGAGGTTCGATTCAATTGGATTTGGGCATGCATGTGTACTAGTATTTTATGGAGCTTTTAAAACACAACAAATTTTTGGGTGAACTAGGAAAAGTCCCTTAAAATACACTTATCATTAGAGACACCACAACACATTCTAATCGATAAGATCCTTCAGTTTTAAAATTTTCAAGGCTAAGTCCACATAGTGTACTCATATAATTCTTTGTGACTAGTTTAAGCCTACACCTTTCACAGTCAGCCAAAACCTAGTAAATAGCTAAACAAATATAAATCCTAGTTGCACAGACTCTTCCAAAAAAGTGGGGGGAAAGAAAAGACGAATTTAAACCTAATCCGTGAAGAATGCACTGCTAGAACCCTGGGAACTAACCATACCTAATGACAGGGATGGACCCAGAGGAGGGCAAGCGGGGCAATTGGCCCCCCTATGAGTTTTAAAAAACCCATTTGCTATACTAAGTTTGTGAAATGAATTAACTGCCTATCTTGTCTATTGCTTTAATAAGCTTTATTACAAAAATATTATTTATTTATTGCCTCAAAAAATAGAATTGCAAAATCTCTTATTTGTGAATACATGTAGAAGTTGTGAAAAAATTGCAAGTATAGAAAATGAAATGTAATTATCTTGATAGGTCACAGGGACGGGTTCAATCCAAACCAAAGAGAAAGAAGTTCTCCTTCTGGTTGTGCCCGTCTGTCCAAAAGTGCAACGAAATCGATCAACAATTGTTTTAGTTTGTAAACAAATGTGAATTTAAGAAGAAAAAAATTGCTTCCTACATACATGTTTCGATGTTGTTTTCACTTTTATACGGGTAGATATTGATGTTCATTCTTTCTTTATAATATTTAGTATATATGGATAAGGTAAATTTCCTGAGAAGAACAAATGGAAGAAAAACCCTAAGCAAAAGCAACAGAGATGGATATGTAGAGAGATGTCAGAGGAATAGAAAATGTGATAGCAATAGACAAATTTATCAATTCCTCAATCAACCATTCTAAACCGGTTAGAATGGATGAACTCTTCACAAATTTAATCAATTTATGTTGAGAATTATGAAAGATAAACAACAAAATACATACATAATAATCATACACAAACACACAACTATATACACACACAGAGAAAGAGTACCTGCGATCAAGAAAAGGTAGGAGATTAAGAGGGCATTCATCGAAGAGACTAACATCAATTGCTTCATCCATGGGAGTACAGGCACGCTCTGCTTTTTGTTATGCTCTGATGCTTCCTCCATTATCTCTTCTTCTTCTTCTTCAAAACCTCTGTAAACCCTTGCATGCACTCATGGAGAGAAATAAACATTGATTAATAATTTTGGACATGGATGAACAGTGTTTTGCCCCTGCGTTTCATTATTTGGGGAGCTTCTATATACAGACACCTAATCCCCTTTATACACACACTTAATGATATTTAATTTTATTACAATTTTATCCCTAAGTGAAATTATTATTTTAGACATCAACCAAATTCATCTCAATGCACACATCCAGAATTCACGTTCATCTCAATGCACACATCTAGACTTCACGTTGAAGCAACCTTCCTTATTCGTAGCTTCTTCCTCATTCATTATTGATATGGAGGATTTGTCTTCTAAAAATCAGCAAATAAGTATTTATGAGAAACATAGCGAAGGAAATGCGAGTTTCTTTCTTTCTTTTTTTCCAGCGTCTTCGAATAACCAGAGCCGAATTGTGTTATTTGGTTCGGAAATCTACTACCAAAATAATTATTTATTTTCGGAAGTTGTTGTCCGAACAAACTAATAAATTTCTGAAGTTGTTGTCCGAAAAAATTATTTAATTTCGGAAGTTGTTGTCCGAACAAAGTTAACTTTTACAACATTCAACTTCCGAAAGTTGAAAATAAATTCAAACAACTACTTCCGAATGAAGTAAAAAAAAAAATTTTGCAAACTGTATGCCAAATTTACAGTTTCGAATTCCCTAATTCTATCTCCAAACAAAGCTATACCATTTTTCAATTCCATGTTAGTATCCATTGAAGCTCAAACAAGTTTTCAAAAGGTGATCTCAAATACAATACGTAGTGATTGATTCATATACGTATAAATTATGTTACAATAATTAAAATTTTCATACATTTTCTCAAATTATTTATCAATCAATAAGAGATTACCACAAATGTAAAAATAATATACATAAGAAGGGAGAGGAAAAAAAAAAGAAAAAAAAGAAAAACACTGTTCGGAAGTTTAAAACCGAAAGTATATATACTGTTCCAAAGTTGAAATCCGAAACAAAAAATTAATTTCGGAACTTGATTGTTGTTTGAATTTAATATATTCGGAAGTTGACTGCCGAAATAATCAAAAAGTTTCGGAAACCTACTGTTGAAATAAATCACCAATTTCGAAGAGGGTCAGTGTAATGTCTAGGATGTGAGGGAAGAATTTGTATTATTCATAAACCTCATAGGGTGTGACTGTAAAAAACCTAAAATCAACCTATTTTGCCTTAAATAAGTGCAAATAAGCTTAAACTATTTTTACTATAGATTACATCAAAATGTTATCTCAACTTAATTAAAACTAAAAGTTGAAAGTTGAAATATTTAAGTCATAACAAACAACCAATTGTTCAGTCGCATCTAGTCAATAATAGCCATGTGCATTATATTATGGCTATTTATAGGCTTTTTTTAATTTGAAATTTTATACCAATATATTTGGTGTAGTTTCTGCTTAATAGTTTTAGAAATAAATAAATAAATTGAAAAATAATTGATTATCAAAAACTAGAGGTGAATGTTTTTATGTTCTGATTTCTAATTCTCAACTTTCAACTTACCAAAAGTTACACAAAATAGGTTCAATTTTTCAAATGGAATTGAGTTTGGGGTTATTTTGTGGAGGTTCGATTCAATTGGATTTGGGCATGCATGTGTACTAGTATTTTATGGAGCTTTTAAAACACAACAAATTTTTGGGTGAACTAGGAAAAGTCCCTTAAAATACACTTATCATTAGAGACACCACAACACATTCTAATCGATAAGATCCTTCAGTTTTAAAATTTTCAAGGCTAAGTCCACATAGTGTACTCATATAATTCTTTGTGACTAGTTTAAGCCTACACCTTTCACAGTCAGCCAAAACCTAGTAAATAGCTAAACAAATATAAATCCTAGTTGCACAGACTCTTCCAAAAAAGTGGGGGGAAAGAAAAGACGAATTTAAACCTAATCCGTGAAGAATGCACTGCTAGAACCCTGGGAACTAACCATACCTAATGACAGGGATGGACCCAGAGGAGGGCAAGCGGGGCAATTGGCCCCCCTATGAGTTTTAAAAAACCCATTTGCTATACTAAGTTTGTGAAATGAATTAACTGCCTATCTTGTCTATTGCTTTAATAAGCTTTATTACAAAAATATTATTTATTTATTGCCTCAAAAAATAGAATTGCAAAATCTCTTATTTGTGAATACATGTAGAAGTTGTGAAAAAATTGCAAGTATAGAAAATGAAATGTAATTATCTTGATAGGTCACAGGGACGGGTTCAATCCAAACCAAAGAGAAAGAAGTTCTCCTTCTGGTTGTGCCCGTCTGTCCAAAAGTGCAACGAAATCGATCAACAATTGTTTTAGTTTGTAAACAAATGTGAATTTAAGAAGAAAAAAATTGCTTCCTACATACATGTTTCGATGTTGTTTTCACTTTTATACGGGTAGATATTGATGTTCATTCTTTCTTTATAATATTTAGTATATATGGATAAGGTAAATTTCCTGAGAAGAACAAATGGAAGAAAAACCCTAAGCAAAAGCAACAGAGATGGATATGTAGAGAGATGTCAGAGGAATAGAAAATGTGATAGCAATAGACAAATTTATCAATTCCTCAATCAACCATTCTAAACCGTTTAGAATGGATGAACTCTTCACAAATTTAATCAATTTATGTTGAGAATTATGAAAGATAAACAACAAAATACATACATAATAATCATACACAAACACACAACTATATACACACACACAGAAAGAGTACCTGGGATCAAGAAAAGGTAGGAGATTAAGAGGGCATTCATCGAAGAGACTAACATCAATAGGACTTCTCATCCATAGGAGCACAGGCACGCTCTGCTTTTTGTTATGCTCTGATGCTTCCTCCATTATCTCTTCTTCTTCTTCCTCTTCAAAACCTCTGTAAACCCTTGCATGCACTCATGGAGAGAAATAAACATTGATTAATAATTTTGGACTTGGATGAACAGTGTTTTGCCCCTGTGTTTCATTATTTGTCTTATTTGGGGCATTGATGGAATACAGTATTTAGGAGTTGTTTGGGATGATCTAAATAAGTATATTTTTTGACTTTTTATGAAATATGGGTTGGATTTGGGTTGGGTTTCAAGTGATGTGTTAGAGAGGTGATGTGACTTAAATAAAATTATGTGACTTAAATAGGATATTGACTTTTTGACTTTTTGACTTTTTATCTTTTTCAAGACATGCCAAATTTGGCCTTAATGGAGGGTGATTCTCCGTTATTTAACTTCTTTCCGCCTTTCATCTCATTATATTATTATAAAAAATATTGTTGTCTTTGATCATGTTTTGTAAATATAATTTGAGAATATGAGTAATATTTTGAATTTGTGAGTTTTGAAATTATGATTTGAGAATATAAAATTTATTTTGTGGATGAGTTTTGAAAAGAATTTTAAAAAAAGTTTTGAAAAGAGTTTTTGAATTGAGTGATGTGATATAATTTTTATACAAAAACTTACAATTTATAACCAAATGCACAACCCAAAATTCTATTCAAAACTCATAAAAAATTAAAAAAAAAATGTTAGAAAATATTTTTTTACTTAACATAAAAAAATAACAAGTGCAAAATAACATAAAATAAAATTCAAGAACACTGTTCCGGTCAACCAGCCGAACGTCTTGGGAGAAGTCCGGGGACGTCCGGGGATGCGCATTTTCAAACGCGGGTGTGGAAATGTGTTTTGAAACTATAAACAAACGCCGCACTCAAACTAAATGATAGAATTAAATTTCCAAAGCTGTACCAAACACAGCCTGTAATTCTCATTACACCCCCAATATATTATCAAAACTAACCCTAAATTAATTATTTTCTCTCTTTACACCACTAATTTTGGTAACACGATAGTAAACAATTTTATATTATTCCGATGTTATGTTACCAGAAAAAATAGATCTATCTAGGATTTTATTACTATACATTTACAGAGACACTTTCTTCTAAACAATAATTTTTTAATTTGTGGTGAGCCTATTCGGTAATACAACGCTAATTAATTTGAATTACTCGCGTGCCATATTACCGGACAATATTTTTTTTCCCAACATTATGTTGCTGTCCAATTAGATGATAACAATAAATTAATTTGGACCACTTGTGAAGTGCATGTTCAGTGATACATTGTTATACAAATGAGATTACTCTAGTGTCGTGTTACCAAACTACAATAGAGTTGTTTAGGCCCACATTGAAAGATTTACTTTTTCCTTGAAACATCCATAAAAAATTCATAAATCAAACACGCATACATAAAATTATACATAAATAGTATCCATAAAATTATTCATAAAAACGTCAAGTGTACGAATATCCATAAAGTACCCATAAAATCTGTCATTATTTGGATCCATCAATCAAACATGTTATCACAATTTGTCTTGGTAATTTGTAGGTAATTTTTACCCCCTTAATAGAAATAGACATCCACACTTTTTAGAACCTAACAGCCTTAATCGTTCTCCTTTGATCTTCATGTTGTCTCTATAGTAACTACTTCTTTTACAAGCAAGTATAACTCTTGGTTTTCTGCCATTGCCTCCCACATTTGATATCTTTATAACAATGACAAATTCAATCTGCTTCCCAATGTCAAAACCCCAGTTAATTAATGCTTCACAACTATGAAAAATCTAAAGATAATAAATGCATTTATACGTCAAATTATTAATAAAACTCAATACAAATTAAAAATAAGAAAAAATCATATTCATAAAAAAAAAAACTTAACAAACTTTGTCTGTAATGAATTCATGACTAGAGTCCACTAATATTGCAGTATTTGTGTTGTTGCAATGAGTATAAGTATAATCCTTCCAGGCAAAAAAAAACTGAAAATACATGGTAATGAGAAACCAAACAAATTAAAAACATTTGGTTTGGGGTTGCTGGAAATCTATATTTTATTCGGTAATTGGTTACCAGACTTATATTTTTTGTTCGGCAATGTAATGTCAGACTATTTTATTTGTTCGATTTCGAAACACCGAATGAAAGTCAAACACCAGTCCAGAAAAACCAAACAAAAACCTATCAAATAAATAAAATTAAAAAACTCAACATTTCAATTCTTTGATGGTTCTTCACCACCGTTTCTTCATCTATTGCTTTCTTTAATGATCAAAATACTATGATTCTTACTTTTTGAAAAGATATATGTAAGAGAAAAAAAAAATTAAGAAAAGAAAATGAGGAGTGGGGATTAAAGACCAAGGGGTGTAAGGAGGTAACAAAATATATTTAATTTTAGTGTTTTGTCCTTGAAGGTAATTTCTCACATGGATAAAATTAAAGGGAAAAAAAAAAACTCATATGAAGCATGTAAAGAGATCAAGTAATGGTGTAAGTAGAATCACCATTTAATTAAACAAAATTGTGTTTAATTGTTTTTTTCTTTTTTACCCATAAAACAAAATTGTGTTCAATCAAACAAAACTATGTTCAATAAATCGAGCCAAGTCTACGAGGATAGCTACTTGTCCCAAAACTCTCAGAGATTTCCACCAAAAGCCATGTTGATCAGGCATGTTTCCAATGAAACCTCAAAGTAAGTTAACCTTCGCTAATACTTCTAATGCCATCTCAAAAAACTTTTAGCGACGGCAGATGACTTTTAGTGACAGCAAAGTGGGGGTCACAACAGAGGGTGTTGCTAAAACGTTTTAGCGACAGCATGATGCCATCGTCTATTTTTTGCGACGGTAAATGTTGGATTTTGCGACAGCGTTTTACTATCGCCTATAATATGTAAAAATTAAGACCTTTTGCAACGGCAATGTTATACCGTCACAAAAAAATTTATTTGAGAGGGCAAAAAAATGTTGTTGTGATATTTTATTTTATTTTTGCGACGGCATGACCTCTGTCACTAAAATTCTTTTGCGATGGCATTGCCTATGTCGCCAAAAAAAATACATTTTAACTCTAATGTTTTTTGAGACATTGTGGTGCCGTCGCAGCCCCCCCCAAAAAAAACTACAATAAAATTATTAAAAATATTCAAATTACCAATATTAAATGAAAAAAATTTAAAACGAAACCAATAATTGCATAATAATATAAAAATTCCTGTATAGAAATAACACTTTCTCCATAATAGGAATATTCTTGCATTTATAACTAGACATCAACAAAATTACCCCACTGCATAATGTTGCACAATACATTTAATGTTTAAATATATAATGTTGTTCACAATTCAAAATAATATAAACCAAAAACAAAAGTTTTCCTCATCATTCTCCGTGGGTAACAAAAACAAAAGTTAGTCACATTTTTCACAGACATGCATTCCACAAGAAGCAAAATCCTACTCGGGAAATATCTGAAAACAAAAAGCAAAAATAATTAATGACAATATAATTATGTGTTAATATGTTAATTACAAAAATAAAAATAAAAATTTAACTACTATACAATTACAAAGATAACTAAGTAAATAATTTTGCCCAAAGCAAAATCTGGCTCTAACTCCCAAACTAGGAACCCGATTCGAGTCTCATATTCTTTCACAAGTCTCTCGTGCCAAGGCGGCTATGTGTGCCAAGTTTCGTGCTAATCCGACACTGTTTGGTGATTTTGGGGTGTTAACACATTGAATTCTAAGTTTCTTAAGAAACTAGTTTGCCTAAACCGAAATCCAGCTCTAACTCCCAAACTGGGAACCCGATTCGAGTCCTGTCTTCTCCCACAAGTCTCTCATGCCTAGGCGGTTGTATGTGCCAAGTTTCGTGCTAATCCGACGCCGTTTAGTGATTTTGGGAAGTTAACACCTCAAATTCTAAGTTTCGTAAAGAACTAGTTTGCTTAGACCAAAATCCGGCTCTAACTCCCAAACCGGGAACCCGATTCGTGTCCCGTCTTCTCCCACAAGTCTCTCGTGCCTAGGCGGTTGTATATGCCAGTTTTCGTGCTAATTCGACGCCGTTTGGTGATTTTGGGGCATCAACACCTCGAATTCTAAGTTTCTTAAGGAACTAGTTTGCCTAGACTGAAATCCTGCTCTAACTCCCAAACCGGGAACCCGATTCGAGTCTCGTCTTCTCCTGCAAGCCTCTCATGCCTAGGAAGTCGTGTGTGCCAAGTTTCATGCTAATCCAACAACATTTGGTGATTTTGAGCCGTTAACACCTCGAATTCTAAGTTTCTTCAGGAACTAGTTTACGTAGATCGAAATCTACCTCTAACTCCCAAACCGGGAATCCGATTCGAGTCCCGTATTCTCCCACAAGTCTCTCGTGCCTAGAGGTGAAGGGAATAAGCTATAAATAATGACATTGGCTGAAGTATGCACATCTTATGTTGAAGGGAAACTTGTTTCAAATTCCTTGTAGTATCTACAGTAATGGAGTTTCATTCCTCAAATATGTAATTGTTTCATTACAAGATAAAAGTGCTCACTCAGCCCAATGTTGTTTCACAATTTATCACGATACTAAAACAGAATATTGCTAAGTTTATCAGTGTGTGCAGCCCATATTCTGTGAAAGCAGACAAAGGCTCGCAAAGATTAGTAGGAAAATTCCCACACTAACTAAATTGATCAATGACATTAAAATTCATTTGAATTAATGTACAGAATATGGTTGGTACATGAAGTTTAGAACCATGATTGTCCAAGTTTATGGGTAATTGTCGTTTGAAATAAGTAATGCAACAACTAGTAGAGCTTTCCTTCCCAAATCATTCTCAATCTTAAGCCCCTGTGTGTTTGGATCAGAAATTTATGGAAGAAATGGAAAATAAATAAATAAATAACCCTGCAAAAGTAAAAAAAAAATCCCTTTCTTTTTAATTTTTTCTTCAATAAATTCCTCTACAAATCTAATATCCAGAAACACTTTTAGTTTTTGTTCCACTTCTTCGTTATTGCCCTAAAATCATAGAATTGTCTGCACCACATTCATTGCATTGTGGTCCCAGTATCACATCAAAATCTGTTTACCGAGTTTAATCAAAAAAGAAATATGTTTACCAAGTTTTATAGACTTGTTGGCAAGAAAAAATTACAAATAGAATACTCGAGTTAGATCACATACAATTTTTTCGCCATGTAAAAACTAAAAAAAAGTAAAAATGAAAGCAAACAGACGCCAGCACTAAAGCACAAAGGAAGCAAATCAGGTAGGAAATTGAAGAAATGTTACATCCATGGAGTCTTCTTCTTCTTCTTCCACTATCATTCCATTAAATCTCAATATGCTAATTTCAAATCTAAGATCTCTTGTGATAGTCAAGTTAAAGAAAATTATATATGCTCCCTCCCTCCTCTCATGACAATCTCTCAAATCCATATGACATAATTTTCAATGAATTTATAAAATTAAACAAAAATTTCAGTTAACCCGGTAGAGTAGAGACGTGAAGACGAAGAAAAAGAATAGCTAACCTAGTTCAGAGATTGAGACTAACTGAGAGAATTGAATTGAAGAGAAACATGCTGCACCGTCATCGCTCGCTTACCGCCGTCACACGCTGCTCGATGCCGTCTCACACTGCTCGATGCCATCGCTTGACGCCGTTAACTCGATGCACGGCGTCAATTCGATGCTCGCCACCGTCCGCCGCTGCTCACAATCAATCAAGAGAGAGAGAGAAGAGATGGGGATTTTTGATAGGGTTTTTGGTTCAAAAATTAGGGATTTTTGGTTGAAGGGGGGAAAATGAGCACAGAGGGAAAAAAAAGTAGCGCTCAGATTTTGTTTTTTTGTTTTTCGACTTCAAGCTTCACCGTCACAAATGACAATTTAAACAATAAAACGACGTTGTTTAACTAATTTTTTTATTTGCGATGGTGGATTGTCATCGCCAAAAACCTTTATTTGTGACGGGAGGAGGTTGTCATTGCAAAAAAACTCATTTTTTTGCTAAAAACCTCTGTGTTCATTTTGTTGCGAAATGAGAGCTAGAGAGAGAGAGAAACAGAAAAATATAAAGAAACAATAGATGATTAGCAAAAGATAGACAAAGAGAGTGAGAAAAATAGCGAAAAAGAGATGAACAAGAGATATATATATATATATAGAAAGAGAAAGAAGAGAGACGAGTAAGAGAGAGAGATGAAAGAGATAGAAAAGAGAGATGAGTGAGAGACACACAGAGAAAGAGAGACAGAGAGAGACCCATTTCATTTTTTGACTTTTTTCTCTTTCAACAACAATGGGCTAAGAGAAAAAGATGAGTGTGATTGAGAGAGAAGAGAGATGAATGATAAAGAGAGATAGATAGAGAGAGAAAAAAAAGAGAAACAAGAGATGAGTGAGAGATAGACAAAGAGAGAAAGAGAAGAGAAATGAGCAAGAGAGAAAGAGAGCGAAGAGATATGAGAGAGCCAGAGAGAAGAGCAATGAGTGAAAGATATAGAAGAGAAATAAGCGAGAGACATACACAGAGAGATAGAGAGAGAGAGATAATGGCCCATTTTATTTTTTGACTTTTCTCTTTTTTGACAACAATAGGCTAGGAGAAATGGATGAGTGATTAAGATAAATGAGAGATGAGCGATTGAAAGAGAAAAAAGATGAGAAAGAGCGAGATAGAGAAAAAATAGATTGATAAATTGAGAGGGAGATCGGTAAATCAAGAAGAAGGAAGGGAGAGAGTGAGCAACGCGAACATAGTGGGGGGGAAAGATAGAGAGAGAGTGTGAGAGAAAGACAGACAAAAAGTGATGAGTGAAAAAGAGAGAGAGAAAGAGAAAGAGAAGAGAGATTAGCGAGAGAGAGACAGAGAGATAGGAAGATGAAAAAATGGGTGAAAAAATAAATGTTAAATCAAAACAATATTGGTTTTTTATTTTTTTAAATTTTTTGTTTGTGACGACACCTATTACATTCGCAAAAAAATCTATCGCAGAAGGAATGTAGGAACCTTAGCATGTTTGCTGACTGACTGAAAGGAAATTCTACAAGATCTAAACAGACTTGAAATAGAAGTTGTGTGTCATGGGCAAGACATTGTTTTAGCCGCAATGTTCACACAACTAGCGATCATTGAAGAGATTAAACAGAAATAGAGAGATGATTAATTTCTAAAGGAAATGTGTGATAAGTTTGAAACTAAGCCCAGATCGGGATTTATAATTGAAGAACAAGTCTTGAAATTCCAAGGGAGACTTTGTGTTCCTAATGATGCCGAGCTGAAAAGAAGAATTTTGGAAGAGGCTCATAAATCAATGTTTGCTAATTTTTTTTTTTAACTCACCCCCTAATTTTTTTTATCTCAAAACACAAACCAAACACACCCTAAGCCTTTAGAATTTGTCACCTAAATAAGGCAAAAACATCACTTCTACTAATATATATATATATGATATGATATGATGAGATGCTAGTAGTAGCTATTACAATTTTTAGCGCAAAGTTGGATAGGTAACATCCTCCTAACCCTATGACAATGCTATGTTTGGGGGAATCACAAGTTTGGGAGAAATTATTTTAATTATATATTTTTTTTGTTATGTAAGGTATTCTAAGCCATCTTATGCGCACTAGATTAAATTCCTACAGGCCAAACAAGCTTTCTAAAACACGGCTTTCTGAAACAGGGCTTATGCCTTATAGTCTGTGGGCGCAAAGTATGCATTTGCTAGCTATGGGATTCGAACTTGAGACTTGGGAGGGAGTAAACCTCCAGACCCAATCATTACCTACTCGTGATTGGGAGAAATTATTTGGCTCTTGCGGAATCTCAAAATGTCCCATGTTTTTTTCCAAATCAAAATCATTTGTTTCCTCTCATACTATATTTTTTATTCTTGTTGGATTTTATTGATTTATGGGGTTATTCTTCATTTCTGTCTCTCAACTTTTTGTGTGCATATGTATTTTTAGTAAAACTTATATTAAATGTGTGCATATATTGAATTTAATAAAACTATAAAGATGATGTAATATAATTTTAGAGGTTTTGAGTATTTACAATTTATATAATACGTGCGATCAGTAAAAATGACATAACACTAGTTAGTACACTAGTGTTTATATTAATTAGTGTATGTAATATTATCGATAAAAATAAGTGAATAGAACACTAATAAATGTTGAATTTAATGAAAACGCTAAACTAGGGCCAAGACAAGCCCATTTGGGCCCAAATCTAATTGGGCACATGATTGGAAGCCATGAGTAGAGATGGAATTTAAAATTTAAGATGGACCGTTCCAATCCTATCTCATTAGCTGGCCTAAGCCCATGACCCTAGATCTGAGACGGGAGTGAGCTTTGAAATTTAGAGCGAGCCGGGCCTGGAGGCTAAGCCCATCTTGATTCTTGGTTTACCCGTTGATGAGTTCCCTGCACTTACATGACCAAACAAACGTGAGCTGTTTGGTAGAGATGTGGGAAAGTGATTATACTTTATAGTTTAACAGTTTATAATTTATAGTTGTGAACATAACTGATTTTTGACTTATAAATCAAGCTTCTCCTCCCCCACTCAAAGAATAAGTTGATTTTTGACTTACAAAAAACTATAAACTGTATTGTTAAACTGAATCAAACATATCAAAATAACTTAATTAAACTAAAAATTAAAATAAATTGAAAATAAACCCTACCAAACAAGGCACTCGTCTCGTCTCCACTAATCTGGGCATGGGTAGGGTAATCCGAGTTGGTGCAAGAAAAGTCTTAACTCAGGACAAGATAACAAGAGCCTGTGTGCCAAACAGAGCCCAAAATCACGTTTGATCACAGAACTCGACTCGAGCGCTGCAGAGGGAGGGAGGGAGGGAGGCAGGCAGGGTTTTTCCAACTTTCTGTGTGAGTGTTTTTGTACGTAGAAGGAAGGAAGGAAGTATCTGATCTTCTTCGTTATTCTGTCTCTCTCTGTTTCTTCGTTCAGATTTCCAACAAGAGTAGTGTAGAGTAGAGTAGAGTAGATTAGAGCATCTCGCAAACCCCAACAATGGCTTCCATTCTATCAAAGAAGAAGAAGAAGAAGAAGAACAAGAGAGAGAAATACAGTATTTCAGAGCTGACAACCCTAGGCCACCAGCTTCTGTCTTCCAGGGCTCACATCAACAACCTACCTCTCCTCATGAGCTTCGTCTGCTCCGGTACCTCTCCGCCGTACTACGCCCTCGAAGCTCTTCTCTCCGTTCAGTCTTTCTTCACTCCTATCCTCCCCGACCTTCCTTCCCACCCCCAAGGCGACCCCCAAGATCCCGAATTCATCTACCGCACTTGGCTCCGATCCAAGTTCGATGATTTTGTCAATTCCCTCATCGATATTGCCGTATCTCCCCAATCCGAAGAAGCTCTCAGGGTAACATTCATTCATTCATTCATTTCCATCTTCTTCTCTAGGCACCGTCAATTTAATTTATCATTTTTTTTTTTGGAATATAATTTTATTAGGAACTTGTGTTGGATACGATAATGGAGTTCGTCAAGGTTGTATGACCCAAGGCGACCCCCAAGATCCCGAATTCATCTACCGCACTTGGCTCCGATCCAAGTTCGATGATTTTGTCAATTCCCTCATCGATATTGCCGTATCTCCCCAATCCGAAGAAGCTCTCAGGGTAACATTCATTCATTCATTTCCATCTTCTTCTCTAGGCACCGTCAATTTAATTTATCATTTTTTTTTTTGGAATATAATTTTATTAGGAACTTGTGTTGGATACGATAATGGAGTTCGTCAAGGTTGGGAATGGGGGAAGGTTTCACTCCTCTATATACCACAGGTTTATTTACAGCATTGTAAGTTTGTTGCTTCATTTTTCTCAAGCAATAATTGTATGACTCTTAACTTTTCTACTTTCCGTTGTTGTTGTTATTATTGTTGTTGTTGTTATTGTTGTTGTTGCTTCATACCCCTAATTCCATTTCTCGTTTTGCTTCCATTTGCAGCTTCATTCAACTGTGGGAATTGAAATTTTCTTAGATTTACTTGTGTCAAAGTACTTCAACTACATTGACATCCAGTATGTATGTGTACACCATTATCTTCACTTGTTGCTCTCTTCTCCTTCTCCTTCTTGGGGGATTCATAATTTTTACATGGTTGCATATTTATGAACCAACACTTGTTATTTTAGGGCTATCGGTAACACAATATCAATTCATGCTGTGCATATTTGATGGCTTAGATTTTTATCACAGTCAGTTGAAATGCATGCGGTGTATATACATTTATTTGTATATACTTTTTTGTAACATAAATTTTGTTATTATTATTATTATTATCATCATCAAGGGATGATTGAACCTTAGAAGTACAAAATCATGGAGCATGCTCCATGTATCCAAGTACCAATACATGACATGTTATCCAGGAACAATCTCTAATCTTTTTCTGAATAGAAAAACTACCCACACAAATTTTTTGGATAACTTTTTGCACGACGTGTGAATGTCGTCCACACATTCACCAAGTCTTGCACAAGGCGGTGCATGTGGTATTGTCGTTTTCTCAATTACATATGGTAAACACTTAGGAAGTACGGATATCAATATGAAATACATATACGGTGATACGACAAAACCTAAAAAAATAAGATATGGGTATGGCTAGGATACGTTTGTAAAAAATTATTATTATTTTTTTTATTACTAGTAAGTAACACATAAGCAGAAGAATGTTGAGAAATTATACTATAATTTCGTAATGTTAACTATTAATCTTTAAGAATTAAGTATTAATTTAAGCCAATAGCTAATTTACTTTTTTAATTTTCAATTGGTCTTGTAAATGTTTCATTTTAATATCAAGTCTAGTATGTTTATATTACAATAATAGACCAATCCACAATTTGTCCCTGTTTTTCCATTTTGCACTAGTCAAAAATGTCGTATGCAAGTTTACTTGTTTATTTTATTGATGGTATTAATTTTACTATTGTTATATTCTTTTGTTAATCATTATGTTCTATGTAGTTATAGGGGACAAGCATGATACAATAAGGATACACCAATTTGACAAATTTTATTACTTTAGCTCATCATGTTCTTTTTATTAAAGAACTAAGCTAAGTATTGGAAAAATATTCTTGCATTTATCCTCTCAATTATATTATAATGCTATGCAAGAAATGTTATTCTAATTTTGTAAAAGATGTAATACATGACTTAGAGTATCTGATACTTCAAAATTAAGTATCCGATATTTCAAAATTAATGAAAATTAAATTAAGAAGTTTCCAATACTTTTATTAAGTATCGGATACGTATCTGCGAGTATCTAAGGAGTGTTGGTATCCAATATGGATAAGCCTCCCTTTTAGAAGTATTCGTGCTTCATAGGTAAACACAAAGTAAAATGCATTGTCCAAGCAACTCAGCCTCAGATACTTGCTTCCATTTTTGGATTAGTTATATTTAGGCCTCGTTTGGGAAGTGGCTATTTTAGTAGGCTATTTGGCTTTTTGGCTATTCTAGTAGGCTATTTTAGTTTTGTGTTTGGGAAGATGAGATGAATTTTTAGTTGGGTTCTTGTATTGGAAAGTGTGTTGAAATGATGTTTAAATTTAAAATGACAAATTTGTCCCTAACTTTTTATTTTTTAAATTGATATCAAGGGGCAAAATGGTAATTTTCCCATTGATGTATCATTTTCCGGCTGTGACAGCCTACACTGTCCAGCGCAGTGCCTATTTTTTTTTAAAAAAAAGCTGTGAACAGTGCCACTTTTTGGCTTATTTATCAAATGAGGCTATAATAGCCTCGTTGGCAGCTTCCCAAACAGCGCCAATATTAATGCCTGATTTACTGTTACTTTTGTGCAATTTCTCTTCATTTATGTGGAAGTTAGAATAAAACTTGGTCTAATAACAGTAAATTTTTACTTTTAGGAATGGAATTAACCAGAGGAAGAACTCCTGGCAAGATGGTGTGTTGGAGACTAATTGCCCTATCCCTCCTAACTCAAACTCCACTTACAAGTTCCAAACCAAAGATCAAATTGGAACCTACACATACTTTCCATCAACTTTTATGCATAAAACTGCTGGAGGGTTTGGAGGACTAAATGTATATGCAAGATCTGTGATTCCTGTACGATATCCTACACCTGTAGCAAATTTTACTTTACTTATTGGTGATTGGTACGAGACCAGCCATAAGGTGAGGAATCTATATTTTAATGTATATAGATGACACAATTCTGCATTTACGAGTTCATGTTCTTCATGCACTACAAGAAAAAACATTTTTGCCGACCACTTTTAGCTACCAAAACTAATTTAGTCGCCAAAAGTCACGGAATTGGCTACCAAAAATAATATTAGTCGGCAAAAGTCAACTTTTTAGCTACTAATTTTTTTTAGTAGGGGAATGTTGATTATTGGCTACTAAAAAAAATTTAGTAGCTAAAGATATTACAATTGGCGACTAAAACAATTTTTAGTAGCTAAACATATGACAATTGGCGACTAAACTTTTATAAACAGCCGTTTCTGTGCAGATTAACCTTTTCTCTAATCTTTGCTCTCCTCTTCTTTGTGATAAGATTTGGATGTGAAATAAATTAAATGAGTGGTTACTCACTGCTTGATTTCACATGAATGGTATTTGTAGTGAAGCCTACTTCACATAGTCACATGGTTGCTTGAACGTGTTGCATGTGCAATTGAAGTGTTAGGTGGTTTGATGACTGGCATTGTTCTCTGTTTGGCTTTTAAATACATTAGAAATTTTCAATTTTGCTTTTTTATGTAGACGTGTGTCGTTTTAGAATTTTATTCTAGTGAACCTAGCCTATATTAAAAGAAAAACAAAAAAAAAAACACAAAAACACTGAAGTCTTGCTGGTGTGTTGCAGTGTAGAGCTCCCTATTCACAAGATATATCGTATCTTATCACACATCCCCCCTTTAGAAGGCACGGATGAGAAAGCTGAACATGAGATGTGGAATGGATCAGGTGACTCCCTGCTTCTGTTTAACATGGAAGTTTGTAATTCTCTCTATTTTCTATTTTACAATACTTCATTTCTGTTAAATTAGCTGAAAATTTTGTTATACATTATTAGGATGCATCAAATCTGTGAATTCTGGTCTTTAGCTTGGAATTAGATGGCAAAAACATAAATTTTCTTCTGTCTATTTGCCTGGGACAAGTGCTGACTAGATGCAACATGTTTCTTTCAATTTGAATTTTGCTTATACAATGCAAGGTGTGTCCAATTATGGTTATTCTAGGCATGCGGCATTACAAGGAATTCTTTCTTTTTCTTCCCTAAGATGCGAAGGTTTTAAGCTGCTCCCAGAATGTGGTTTCTTCTGAACTTCTAATATTTGTTAAGATTAGAACTACTAGTAAACAAAACATTTTTTGGCTACATATTATGGTTAGAGTGGAAAACATACACAAGTGCACACACACATGCCTATATGTTCATGTATATCATCAGTGCATTTTGTTGTATATGTATGTGCTACATAGTGATATTTTTTGATATTTAATTTTTTTAATTATTTAAAGAATAAGGATTGTGAGGTTCAAGCCTTATGCCATGGAGCTCCTACTATTTCATGCTTGAAGAGCTGTCCTTTCCCTAAATGGGAAGCTTATAATTGTGTTTATACATATATATGTATGTTAGACAGACTTTAACACTAATTTTCTTTTTCTAAATTTCCTCTGCTGTATCTGTTCATGGTTCTTGTTATTTTTACCTTGCTCTTAAATGACCTTCTAGTTTTGTGGTAACAAGATTCTTATGTTTGTCTCTTTTTGATTAGGAGTCTTTGTTAAAGAAGGTGATCACAAAGAGCATTCTCAACATCCAAAAGCAGATGATAAACAGAACAAGGTGGAACAATCTAGCAATAATGTATCTTGTTGAATTATTGGATTATCTCAAGTTTCTTTTTTCCCTTCTAGAAAAGAGATTTTTTTGTTCAGTAACTACGTATTCCAAGCCAATCTCATACTGATAATTTCTTGTCTTTGTTTTTCTTATTTTCTTTAGAACTGTTTTGTTTTGTTTTGTTTTGTTTTTACACCTAAGTAATACACAAAAAGTATTTCTGGTTCTTGTAATACTTTATTTGCAGTACCAATGTTTTAGGATTTTATTGTTTTCAGGTATTGTCTGCAGTTAATATTGCCAAAAAGATGAAATTGAAGTTTACTAAAGCTTGGATATCATTTCTTAGGTTACCACTCCCGGTTGATTTGTACAAGGAGGTAAACCTCATAGTGACAGTTACTTCTCGCTCTTGTGCATATTGATTGTTTAATTTGTTTTTTTGTTTTTGTTTTTGTTTTTGTTTTTTATTGATTGGATCCAATTAGACTCTTGGTGCATGGTTTGATTTGTCTTCACTATTGATTTTTAGACTGACTTTCTAATTTCTTTCTCTATGCTTATTTTGAGCCAATAAAGTGAATTCATTATTGGATTTGAGTTGATCTTTCAGACTTCACTAACTCTAAACTGCTTTTTGGTAATGATTGGTTTAAAAACACGTCTTTCCCTGAGCTTCATGCTGCCAGTTATGCCCATCTGACTCTTCATTCATTTTTACGTTACGTAGCTTTTTCTTTGTTCTTTTGAGTTATTAGTTTCATTTAATTCTTATCACAACTTTCTTATGACGTGTGTTTCCCTGCCTGTCTTTTGATGTTCAGGTTCTTGTTACACTTCATCAGGCAGTTATCCCTTATTTGTCAAACCCAATCATGTTATGGTGAGCCCGCATGCTGAGATATCGTTTTCTTTTCTAAGCTTTCTTAATTTATACTTACATCTGATATTTTACCTCACAATATGCAGTGATTTTCTGACGAGATCATATGACATTGGAGGTGTTATCAGTGTCATGGCTCTTAGCAGCTTGTACATTCTTATGACACAGCATGGCCTTGAGTATCCTAACTTCTATGAGAAGCTTTTTGCACTATTGGTACCCTCCATCTTTATGGCAAAGCATCGGGCAAAATTTTTTGAGGTGATCTTTTGTGGTTTATAATTAATTGTTTTGTAAACTAAAAATATTAGGCCAATTTGGGTGTCGTGTTCATTTCTCAGTAGTCTAGTGAAAATCTGAATCTTAATATGTTGTTGGGATAGTTTTTAGTTTTGCTTATAAACATTCTCCATTCAAGGATTTATCGCTTGATGTGATATTTTTTTTTTTTTTTTCTTTCTTTCTTTTTCTTTCATTGACAGTAATGCTGCTAATTTAATGGTCTAAATCAAAAGCCCAAATTGATTGTAAATTAAACAATTTTTTTTCAATATTTATAAAATTAATTGTAATTATAAATAATTTTATATTAAATTGAACAAGTAAAATCTAACCACACATACCGCTAAAGATCATTCAAACTTACAATAATACTTTTATCAAATTACGAAAGAAATATTTTTGTATTAAATTAATAATTTATTAATTTTAAATTTGATGAATAATTAAAGAGATAAAGTATGGGAATTTTTTTTTTTTTTTGAAAATTATGACACAGTCATTATTTTTAAGTTTTTGTTTTCTGTACTAAACAAATAATTTGGGACGGAGGTAGTAATAATTATCTTGATGTTGGCCTTGTTCACCTAGTAACTCTTCAACTTATTTTATATTCAATCATAATTGTACTCCTTCCTACTTGAAACTACTATAATATATGATGATGGTAATTCCAATAATTGTTAAACATGGGTTGTAGGGGTCTCCCATGGGTTTTATTTTGAGCCAAGTTATTAAATGGGTCATTATATATAGGTCAAAAGTCTAAATTTCTTATTTTGATATTGAAATAGAATTAGAAGTCATTAAAGTTTCCCATTATGATTGAAGTAGAATTGAAAGGCATAGTCGGTCTAGAATATTAGTAGTTGGTAAATAATTTTAGTTTCTAAATTTGAGTTATAGTCCTTACAAAATTAGGAGAGTTATTAGCCTATAAATATATGTGTAATCTTAATAATTCAATAGAGTTAATATTATAAAAATTCGAGATTGTGTTTGTGTGATTGGCCTATCCCTTGTGAGGGTGAAGCGCCCCCCCCTCTTCTCTCTCTCTCTCTCTCTCTCTCCCCTCTTCTATCCAACAAGGCTACTGTTCGCGTCACTGTTCACAGTGCTCAGAACAGCCACCCGACAGCCCCTAAACACTTGTGTTTTCATTCCCAAAACCCTACCCTTTTACAAATCCTTAAACTCCTATTTTAAATACTTTTGCTCCCATAAAATCCTACTAAATCCAGCCCTATGAGTCTATTGTTGCTGCTGCTGCCACCAGTATACTTAACTCGGCTCATTACTTGTGGGAAGGTAATTCCTACTCGTCCTACATCAATATATATATTTTATTTCTAAAGTTTTAAAGCACTTGTAAATATATATATATTTTCTTAAGTGGCAAGATTACATTTTCAAAAAACCCAGTTCTATAAATAGTGGGTCTATCAGCACCATGAGCAGTTATTATGGTCAACATATTGATTAAGCAATCAAGTTGAAAATGAACTTAATTGATTGTAGGACTTCTTGTGGCTTTGATTAACTTTGTGAATATGGCAGCTGCCCTTTCTGTGAGCAATGGTTTTGGATTGGCAGTTATGTAGGTTGGTTTGTTTTAGTTAAATGTTACATAGAAGAATAAAAATGCCAACATGGCATGTAAAAAAGTATTAAAAAAAAGCTAACAAAGTAACATAGGTGGCATAAAAAACATTATAATGGGAATTAATTGTTAAAGAGTGTTAGGTTGGGAATCCTTTTTATTTTATTTTATAAAATAGTGTTATTTTGGACAAAAAAACTCATTTTATTTTGGGCTGAATTTTCTAACTTTTGCAATATATTATTTGCAGCTTCTTGATTCATGCCTAAAATCACCACTTCTTCCAGCATATTTAGCTGCTGCTTTTGCTAAGAAATTGAGCAGACTGTCTCTTTCAGTTCCTCCGTCAGGAGCGTTGGTCATTATTGCTTTGATTCACAACCTTTTACGGAGACATCCTTCAATCAACTGTTTGGTTCATCGGGTAGCAATTTGCACTTAAGTTCTTGTATCATCGTAATTGTTTGTCTTTGAAATCTTTGCAAAATATATATGACATCATGGTTGTTGGATTCGTGCAAATGAAACTGGGGACTTATGCTGTGCATAATATTATTAGGCATGCAAACACACAAACTGTGACTCTCTCTCTCTCTCTTCAAATGCTAGAACAAAATACATGGTCTCAATGTTTTCATAATAGCAAAATTAGCATAAATTTTTAAGTTGACCAAAGGATTTATTTACTTTGGAGTCCCAGGGTACGTCATTGATAGTAATGCATGTAGTGAAGGTAAATCGAATGTTAAAATTATGAAGATATACTTTGCTATTCATTTGCTATAGAGCTTTGTGCCGGAGAATAGAGGTACAAGATGAGCAAGGATGATGTGGTATTATTGAATCATATTGTGGAAAATTATGCCTAGGTTACAGCTAAAGTGGCCATTGTTATCTTGAATCGACCATTTATGAACATTGCTAATATAGTTAAAGCAAAGTGCATAAAGTGGAGAAATTTGTTTACTGCAGTGTGTGAATGATAAATATGTTTTGAATTGCAAGGAAATTTCATATGATAGGTAGAAACTGCTCATGCTTTATAGAATAGTGAGCTGGAGAATTATGAAATTGATAGGTAGACGCTACTCACTCTCTCATGTCTCAACTGAAATGGAATATTTTACATTTCTTTAAGTTTAGAGATTTTATTATATTTTACAATTCTTAAAAGTTTAGAGATTTGAGTTTACTTGGGTTGGACCATGTTCTCCTTATATCTATTTGATCTTTTGATTATTTTTTACTCTTTATGTATCTTAGCAGCATTCAGAAGAGCTTGCACTCAGCATTTTTTAATATTTTCTATTTGAGAACAAGGAAGTTTCGACATTTGTGCAGGAGAATGGTGATGGAACTTCTAGGGATAATTCTAGAGTGGAGGATGGTGAAACCGAGGACTCCTGTACCAAACCAGAAATATCTACCAAACCAGAACTATCTAGTAAAAAATCAGGGATTGATCATTTCAACAATGAGGAAAGTAATCCTGTAAAAACTGATGCAATGAGTAAGTTTATGCTTCGAGATCTGTAAAGTTTCATGTATTTGAATATTTTGCTTTGCCCCAACTCATGCCACCAGCACCACCATGAACATATGTACAGTACACCCACAGAGTTGAGGTTGGGTAGGGGGGATTCACTGTCAAAGCATGTTGTTTTTCTATCTTTTCTTAGATATATAAAAATCTCCTTTTTCTGTGTGATGCTTCTACTCTGAACAACTACGAGTATGTTCTATTGTTTCTCTGACTCTGCTTCTATATTTTAAAACAATATATATATATATATATATTCCATTATATAAAGCACACAATTCAGAACATGTTTTGAAGCTATGACATGCATTTTCTCAAATCCAAATTATTCTTATGCAAATAAATCTTTAATATGCATACACGCTTTTGTGTTTTTGTCTGAGTTTGGAAGACCTTATAATGGCTAGTACTTTCTCGAACCTGCTTCTGTTGTTTCTCTCTCTCTGTTTCTATATTTCAAAACAATATATATATTCTATTATATAAAGCACACAATTCAGAACAAGTTTTGAAGCTATGTTACGCATTTTCTCATATCCAAATTAACCTTATGCAACTGCTCAGATGACAGTCACAGCCATCTTTTCTGCACATGCATCGCACTTGTGTGTAGCCTTCTAGTATATATTTATAAATGAGGACATTGAGATGGATCGATATTGTCAATCCCAACTAATTGGGAGTAGACTTTATTGGTAGCTAGTCACCTTGAGTACTTTGTTGATTCATTCAGCTTTCTGGCCTGTGAGAAGGATGCGCAGATTGAAGCAATTTTCAGTTAAATGCTTCCCAGTTGCTCATGGATATTTGATATCTTTTTGTCTGCTATTATCTGTTGTGGAGTCTACAAAAATCCGGGAGTCCTACTTATTGACAATTACGTGACTGCAAATTTGTACCTTTTATACCATGTTATTCTTTTGATTTCACTATTGAGTTGGTAACTGTCCTGCTTTGATCAGTCCGCAAATATCCTGTATGATTAATGTATAAATTTTCATTCTTCTTGACTGCTATTCTTCTTTTCTTGTTAGCATTTTATGTCTTTCAGAAGAAAACAATGCCTAACAATTGACAACATGTGTACAGGAAGTTCTCTTTGGGAGATTGATACCCTCCGTCACCACTACTGCCCACCTGTATCAAGGTGCATGCTTTAACCTGATCATCTCTGTTTCCTCTCTTGAATGTGCATGCTTGTTTGCGTTCTTTAGAATAATGTGTTTTAATTACATTGTTTGGCATTTCCTTTTCATTGACAATACCTACTTTCTTCTTTTTTTAGATTTGTTTTGTCGCTTGAGAATGATTTGACAGTAAGAAGCAAAACGGCTGAAGTTGCGGTTAAAGATTTCAGTTCTGGTTCATATGCAACAATATTTAGAGCGGAGGTATATTTGCATCTATTTACACAAGAAAAAGGAAAAGAAAAAGAAAAAGAATATTCAATTATGCTTTCATTAACGTGATTCAATTCAAATAAAGACTTAATCCACTTTGCAGATTGGACGAAGGGTAAAACAGGTTCCACTTGCATTCTACAAGGGAACTCCCAGCTCTTTGTTCTCAGAGTCTGATTTTGCCGGTTGGACTTTCAAATATAAAGAAAATGACAAGTTGTTTACTAGTGGTGTTGATAACAAAAACATAGACATATCTGAAGATCACGGTCATGGTTCTGCAAAGCGCCAGCGAATTGAGTGCTCGTGAAGCAAGTGGCGTCTTTATTGTTATCAAGTTTTGACTTATTAACAATGTCTATTTTGTAGCTTATATGCTTGGAAGCCGTTTACCTGGTTCTTTTTCCATTTTTCATATTTCTCTACAATTCCTTTTCTTTTCTTTTCATTTTTAATAGATGTTAATGTAATTGGAGTTGCAAATATTTCACTTATTAATGGATCCATTCTCATGGGGATTTTTCTCAAACGGTTGTTAATACGAGTAATAATAGTGATAGTTGTGAATATAATAATTTTTTGGAGGACAATGAATCATTGAGATTCAGTCTCCAAATATTTTTATTCTAATTTATATTTAGTTGTACGAATGTCTTGAGATTTTTTTTCTCTCAACATTATATGATTGAAAATATATTAGAACAAATGGACAACAAAAATTGGCTGGCCTAATTTAGAATCATCTCTCTCTCTCTCTCTCTCTGTATATCTATATGTATATATATCTATATATATTTCAAATAGACATTGTCTTTCCTAATTTAGAATCCCTAACCTTTCATTTGAGGACTTGTTGGGTAATACATGCAGTTGCACCGTTGGTGTTTGAATTTAGTTATAGTTTTGAATGTATATATTCAGTTTCAATTGCAGTGAGCCATCCTAATCCAATCACAATCTGAGCTCGAAAGCTCAAAAAATATAATTTAGTTGAAGTTGAGGTATGTAAGCAGTGAATAATAAAATGCAGGCATTCTTTGGTTGGACTGCCTACTTGTGACCTTAGCAACAGTGCACATGCTTGAGATGACTTGCCGTCTCCACATCCTACCCCCCAACAATGCCAAACTGATGTACCAATCAGAATGAGAAAGCAGTGCTGGAATTATTGGTTAATTGAGCACAGGAAATTAATATGGACGAGAAGTTTGAATCAAAAGGAAGAGTATGCGTGACAGGTGCTTCTGGTTTTATCGCTTCTTGGTTGATCAAGAGACTTCTCTTGTCTGGGTATCGTGTCATTGGAACAGTTAGGGGCCCCGGTATCTGTCTCTCCCTCTCTCTCTCTGAAATCAAAAACTACATTTTGTGTATATTGTAACTAAAGTTTATTTGCTATGAATATGCAGGAAACAATGAGAAATTGCGGCGTCTGTGGAGGCTGGAAGGAGCCAAGGAGAGACTTGAGTTGGTGAGGGCTGATCTAATGGAGGAGGGCAGCTTTGACGACGCAATCATGGGATGTCACTAGGGGTGTCCGCGGATCGGTTTTGTGCGATTTGCGGTTCGGTTTTGACCCGCCCGCATCTATGCGGTTTAGGAAAAAGTCAACCCGCAACCGCCCGCAGTGCGGTTTGCGATTTGTGCGGATAGGGTTTGTAGATGTGCGGGCGGTTGCGGGCGGTTTGCGGTTTACACTTTTTTTTAAAAAAATTAATTTTTAAGTTTTTTTTTTTCCATCGAATTTAAGCATTAGATTCATTTTATATATTTGTGATCATTTGATAACAATTTTCTGATGAGTTTACAAATAAAAATTTAATATCACTAGCATTTTTGTCATGAAAAAAATGTATATCAATGTATTAAAGGTTGTACTCAATTAGAATTGTCAATTCAGTAATCAATAATCAAACTAGAAGCTTCATCGATCACCAGAAGAAAAATTTTATTAGGAAAAAGTAGATGAGTCATCAATGAAAATCATATAAGAAACCAAGTTTAGGACTTGATAATTCTACGACATTAAGAAAATTGAGAAATATTTAAAAATAAGGATCCTAGTGTCATAGAGAACATAATGGTATTCCTGTTAAAGTTACAAAGTTGATATATAAAAAATAATAATAATAATACTAATTAAAGTGCGGGCGGTTTTTGCGGGTTGCGGTTTTAACCCGCGACCCGCCCGCAACCCGCAAATTTGTCATATTTCAAACCGCATCCGCCCGCATTATGTTTGCAAAACCGCCCATTTATATGCGGGTTGGGCGGGTTGGGCGGTTTGAGCGGTTCGGATAAACCGTTGCCCACCCCTAGATGTCACGGTGTCTTCCATATTGCTTCCCCTGTTTTGGGCCAACCATCTTCTGATCCAAAGGCATGTTTGTGTTAATAGACCCTTCATTCAATCATTCAATCTGTAAGCATGTTACTGTTAGCATGGTATATACATCCAGTTTATATATATTTGAAGTGGTGCAATATTATTGGAATAGGCTGAAATCTTGATACCTGCAATTGAGGGTACATTGAACATATTGAGTTCATGTAAGAAGAATCCATCATTAAAGCGAGTGATTCTCACCTCATCTTCTTCAACCGTAAGGGCAAGAGATGATTTCGACCCAAATGTGCCTTTGGATGAATCATCTTGGAGTTCTGTGGAGCTCTGCGAAAGACTCCAGGTTAATCATATTATCTTAATTATCCAATTGAAATTATTTTCCAACATTGCAATTTTACTATATGGGCCTGCTTCCATGTACACTGCAAAACAAATTATAATATCCCACTACGCATTTTGAAGCTCATCACACCAGCCTCTTACCTGCAGCTGCATTAACTAATATATATTTATATATATGGCCTTCATCTCATAATTGGTTTATTATATATGAAAGATTTGGTATGCTTTATCAAAAACCCTGGCTGAGAGGACTGCATGGGAGTTCTGCAAAGATAACAAGATCGATCTGGTGACCGTTCTCCCCTCATTTGTTGTTGGACCTAGTTTGTCACCTCATTTGTGTACTACTGAATCTGATGTCCTCGGCTTGCTTGAAGGTAGTAATTAATGCATTCCCCTGTTGCTGACCAACTCGCTAGCTCGTTGCTATTTTTCTCCACTTTCAAAAGTTCAGTCAGTGGCGTTAAGGAATGTTATCTTGTTACTTGTATTTGTAACCAAACTGGAGTTTGGAAGCACACTAATTTACTTATTTGACTTACAGTTTGGTTGTGTTTGATCTTTCGAATAAACAAATAGGAAAGACTGAGAAATTTCATTGCCATGGAAGGATGGGATATGTGCACATTGATGATGTAGCACTCTGCCACATCCTTGCTTATGAGCATGAAAATGCACATGGACGATACCTTTGTAGCTCAATTGTTGTCGACAATAATGAGCTTGTTTCCGTGTTGTCTCGACGCTATCCAACATTGTCCATTCCCAAGAGGTTGGCATTGTTTTCTTAGTAAAGATTAATGTTATCAACATTAAACTGTTCTATTTTAGATTATTAGTTTGTAAAACCTTCCATTGCTCTTGTAATATTGATGTTCCAAGGTCCAAAATTTTTTATTTTATTTTTATAATTTGTAATTTTGACAACATTTTTGAAGTGAAAACATGCATAATATTAAAATTTATAAAAGTTTGGATGAAAATATTCAATTTGCGTGACAAGAGAGAATTTATTATCTTATGATCAAGGGAGGGGGGATTTATATATAGCAATTATGTATGTATTGTATGTGTACGTGGATTAGTGATTGATGAACTGATGATTTCTACATGTGGCCTATATTTCAGATTCGAGGCACTTGATAGGCCATATTATGAGCTCAATACTTCTAAATTGAGAAGTTTGGAATTCAAGTTCAAGTGTATCGAAGAGATGTTTGATGATTGCATTGCTTCTTTAATGGCGCAAGGACATCTTTGTTTAGCCTAGTCTAGTTACAACTACTAACAACTTCCTACAATATTTTGAATATGAACTTTTTCTTACTCTGACATCGATCGAATTTTAAAGTTTACTTCTTGTAGTTCACACCTTCCTTCTAATATTTTCAATGATTTATTATGAATAAGAATAATATATATATATATGTTTCCCCTCCCTCTACAAATTCATGCTTTAAATGGAATGCATGGTGAACAAAAAGAAATTGTGCTCTAGAAATTGAAATTTGTGGGCGGTCTAATATGAATTCACATAGTAATGTCAATTTTTTGTTATTTTTTGTCCCATTTGTGTACTCTCTACCAAGACATGTAAATCTCTATGTATTTTTTTTTTGGTGTGTATGGATGTGTTTAATATTTTCAGCTAAATCTTCAAATTTAGAGATGTTAAATTTATTTGAAAGTTTGTGGTAGTTTAGTATTTCAAAATTCGATGTCTTTAAAAAAAAAAATTCTCCATGTCATTTTTTATTTTATTATGTTTTATTTGACATACACTACAGAGATTAACAAATGAAACTCATTGATTTAATACCCCATCATATTTATCAAAGAGAGTCCTAATTTCAAAATTACATAAATTATTAAGATTTTAAAAAAAATAAATTTTACTAATTTAAATAGAACTTTCGGTGTCATTTTGTTATTATGATACCCACATACCACTACCAAAATAATCTCCATCATGATTGGTTGGTTGAGGATTTATGGCCTTAAATAATATGATTAATATTAATAGTGAGGAATTATCAATATATAGAACTAGCGTAAAATTGGTTCTATGCATGAGCAAGTAACAAAATGTAATAAATAATACTAAACATGTTAAAAATTAACTAAAAACTATAATATTAATTTAGATGAGTATTTAAATAATAGATTTGAGTGATTTCACTATATTTATATAGATGTGCAGGATTAATTAATTTTTTTGAAATACACTCATTCGAATAAACTCAATGAAGAGTAAGAGTGAGATTCTATAAATATAAGATAAAAATAAAAAATAAAAATAAAAATTAAGTTTAAATTTGAAGATGAATATAGAAAGAGAAATTTATGTGGCACGTGACTTCCCTCGTATTGGAAACGACACAACCAAGCTGTGTAGCTCACGCGCATTAAAAACACCTCTCACCTCCACCTTTAACACTAAGCCTCCGTTTGGGAAGTGGGTTGGCTTTTTGACTTTTTTGGCTATTTTAGCCTAGGCTAAAAAGTTTGGTTTGGGAAAGGCTTTTTGGCTTTTTGACTTTTTTGACTTTTTTTATGAGAGAAGAGTATAATGATTATGGATTGGATGTGATGTTTTGTTTGTGGCTAAAATAGTCTATTTTGTCTTTTGTGGCTAAAATAGCCTATTTTGTCTTTTGTGGCTATTTTAGCCCCAACTTTCCTTGCCAAACGAACTCTAACACAAACAACCAAACAATTCTATGTCTACTAATAAATCAGCTCCATTCATTTGATCATTGAAATTGTTCCGTTGGATTGGACAATGAGACTGGCTTCTCTCCATTCCTCCATTGAACTAGAGAGGTATTGTGGGACTCAGTAGACTCCCTTTTGAGTCTTGTTTCTATAATTCGAGTCATTCATATTTTAAGATTTATCGAGTATATCATCCTTACAAAAAATCAAGTTAATCGGATAACGACAATTACATGTTCGGATCAATTTTGTAAAAAAAAAATAAAACTACTAACAACATCCTACAATATTTTGAATATGAACTTTTTCTTGCTCTGACATCGATCGAATTTTAAAGTTTACTTCTTGTAGTTCACACCTTCCTTCTAATATTTTCAATGATTCATTATGAATAAGAATAATATATATATGTTTCCCCTCCCTTCTACAAATTCATGCTATAAATGGAATGCATGGTGAACAAAAAGAAATTGTGCTCTGGAAATTGAAATTTGTGGGCGGTCTAATATGAATTCACATATTAATGTCAATTTTTTGTTATTTTTTGTCCCATTTGTGTACTCTCTACCAAGACATGTAAATCTCTATGTATTTTTTTTTTGGTGTGTATGGATGTGTTTAATATTTTCGCCTAAATCTCCAAATTTAGAGATGTTAAATTTATTTGAAAGTTTGTGGTAATTTAGTATTTCAAAATTTGATGTCTTTAAAAAAAATTCTTGAAATATTAAATTTATTATTTTATTATATTTTATTTGACATACACTACAGAGATTAACAAATGAAACAAATAAATTTTACTCATTGATTTAATACCCCATCATATTTATCGAAGAGAGTCCTAATTTCAAAATTACATAAATTATTAAGATTTAAAATAATAAATAAATTTTAATAATCTATATAGAACTTTTGGTTTCATTTTGTTATTATGATACCCACATACCACTACCAAAATAATCTCCATCATGATTGGTTGGTTGAGGATTTATGGCCTTAAATAATATGATTAATATTAATAGTGAGGAATTATCAATATATAGAACTAGCTTAAAGCTCATTCTATGCATGAGCAAGTAACAAAATGTAATAAATAATACTAAACATGTTAAAAATTTCTTTCTTTCTTTCTTTCTTTCTTTCTTTCTTCCTTTCTTTCTTTCTTTCTTTCTTTCTTTCTTTCTTTCTTCCTTCTTCTTCTTCTTCTTCTTCTGTTTTTTTTTATGTTGTTTCCTTTAATGTCATCATTTCCTGTCTTTAGACTGGAAAATAGGCTTAAGAAAAAATAGCAAACAAAAGCAAAGTTCTCTGGAATGAAAGAAAAGGATAATTTGTAAGAAATACTTGTGAAATAGCTCTCATTCACCAACAGTAAAGATGTAATTATTAAATAAAAAACAGAGGCTAATATGTAATTAAGCAAATTGTAAGGAAATATTGTTAATTTACCCTTAAATTTATTTACCTGATACAAGGTATTTTGAAGAAATTTACCAATGTATGTTTTATTTAATTTTATTTTGTTAAAGTCGTGAGATCAAAAAATACAATTTCAATTTTGAAATTATATTTTTAAAAATGAAATGCTAATCACTACTAACGTTGTTATTTTCTTTTTTCATTCTAAGGATAATTTTTTTATTCAAAAACTATTAACTTATTTACTAAATCTGTCAACAAAAGAAACCTTCATGGATATCAGTTCACAAAACATTTATATACTCTAGTTCTCTGTTCCAAATTGATTCTATAAAACATAATAACTTAAGATGGCATTATGAATGCATATGACTTGCAATCACTAAACCTCAATCATTACTAAGCATGTTAAATCCCAAGATGTTGGAGAGATTCTGGGCCAACAAGGAATACACGCTTTAGGCTTTGGTATCAAAAAATAACTACTCCTCTGTATGTTGTTCTTGGCACGCCATCCTAGGAAAGGACACAAAACAATGGTTGTGATTTCTTTGAAAGGGAAACAATTTCAAACAATGAGACTACCATTAGAACAACCATATAGTGTACATGTGTGAAAAAGGCCTTCAAACTCTAAATGATTAAAAAAATGTACAATTTTACATCTCCAAGAAAGCGTATCAAAGCATGAGAGAGATAGAGGGAGAAGTTCAACATTATTTGAATTCTTCTGTTCAATAAGAAACAGGAACTTCATTAAAGGGAGCTTAATTCGCAGAGTCAAAATACACATATCCAGTTATTGAAATATGAGCAAATTAATCAGGAGCACAAGAAAATGCTCACAAATATTAAGCATACTTTAGAATACATTTGAGAGCCCTTTCAAGATAATTAGCAAGGTTACAAGCCGTAACCACAGCTAGAGCCTAATAATTCAGAAAAGAGGGATGCATATGTGATGACTTTTAAACAAAAAAATAAATAAATAAAATAGAAGAATTAAAATGACAACATGATAACATTATAACTATCAAATTACAAACAAAAAAGCACAAGCACACACATCAGTTAAATGAAAAATGTGCAGGGGAATAATGTAACAGGCTAAGAATTTGAGCCAAGTTTTTCAAATGTGTTGAACAACTACACCTCAAATGGTGACTGCCTATTATAATAGAGTGCATTGTATATGAACAATACTATCAAGAAAAAAAAGGAAAAACCAAGCAGCAAAAGCTCTCACTCAGAAAAAAGAGAAGACAGGATTGAAAGGAAGATTGTAGAATTGAAGAAAAGTTTTAAACTTAATGTGACACCCCAAAGAATGTAGCGTGATATAACTATATTATTATTCATCCTTGAATACCTTAAGCCCTGCCTTATGTTATATGTCTACTTGAATTAAGACTTCTTAAGAATTAGAAGTGAGAAACACGCCTTGATAAGACAAACCAAAGAATATAATTACTTGAGAATGAGTTTGAAAGTATATGTTAATATAGAGCTTTGAACATGAAAATCCTTATGTCTTGTATTGAGAGTTAGGGAAGGACTGAATTTAGTAAATTTTGAGTTTCCCTATTCACTAATCAAGGAGCTTAAATATTTTAGACTAATGTGCTTGTCATATTGATGCTATATTGTTTTTATAATCGGGATTAGTGCTAATTAAGTAGAATTAGTGAACTTTACTCGTGATTAATTAAGCTAAGCAAGATTAAGTTAAACCTTGGTCAATTAGAAATTAACCTTGATTAATTATAACTAAGATTGATTAACTAAGCTAATTAATCCTTGGTGATGCATACGCACACCTCAACATTTCCTACAAAACAAAAGTGAAGAATATAGAAAGAGAGAGAGAGCTCTAGAGTTTATTTAGGCTAATAAGGGTTAAGGAGTAAGCATGATTAGTTAGGACTAAAGCTTGGTTAATTAAGCTAATGGGACAATTAGTAAAATACTTAAGGTAACCTTGATTAAGCTAAGCTAAGCAAATAAATTAGGATTTGGTGAAGCATACACATAGGTGAAGCGAACAAGCACCTTCCTTTTTGTATTATTTAACTTTTGTCTTGCCTTAACTCAATAAAACCAAACACAAAGAAGAAAATCTGTAGAGTCAAGAAGAAAGGAGAAGAAAGAAAAAGGAAACAGAATAAAGGACAAGAAAAAAAACAAGGGAAAGAAACAAGCGAACTGAGTTCTTGTGAAGCAAGTGGTGTTTTTTTTGTTATCAAGTTTTGACTTATTGACAATGTCTATTTTGTAGCTTATA